AGGAACTTTGTTTGTTCTCATTGTTGGGTTTGTTTGCAGTTCTCGGGGTCACAAATTGTTTTCGAGCTTGCCGGGGTTCCAACAAATTGGAAAGTGTTCCACAAGTAGCACGTGCCACGCCCCCCCCTTCGGCCGAACGCCCCTGGTCTGTCCGCGGCCATTTAATAATAATAATAATAATAATAAAGAAGGGCCGGACAAAAAGGAGAAATTTGTGCCCAGAAAACAAAACTTTCTCGGGGACGAAGCGTTTTCATTATTTAAATAAAAATTCAAATTAAATAAGATTAATTCCAGTGTGGGACGGCAGAAGGCAGAGGAGCTCTTTACATAATTCCACTCAACGCCACTTGAAGATGACTAATGACAGATTGTTCAGTCATCTTGGGGACTACACTGAGAAAAAGGCCTAATAAAAAAAGTAAAAGAAAAAAGGATTAAATAATATAAGGTAATGGATCTTAGAAAGTTTGCATGGCAGGTTGCACGATCAAGAATAAAATAACTTAAATTCAAAATATATTTAAGCATACGTATTAAAGTATAAATAAATATTTTTTCAATTTTTAAAATACTTAAAATTTGGTTCAGAAATCATAGCAACAAAAGAAAATGAGTAGGTAGAAATGTAGGTAATGGACATAAAATAAATAAACGATTCAAATTGGTTGGCTTGAGGCCATTTCAAGATTACTTTAACATTGCTATCTAGTACATCCACATTTGTTCTAAGTGCAGAATGACTGGTAGGTGTTTAAGAGCAGGGTATGCCGCCACCCACAGATATGTCACATTTGTCTAGCCAACAAATACTTCATCAAACTTCCGCAGGAAAACACTTGAGGCTCCTGCGGTGATTTTTCTAAGCTGTCAACTGCAACTGGTCCTGGAAACTGGACATGGCCAGGATATCATCATCAGCAGCAGCAGCCAACCAGCAGAGATACTAATTGTCGTCCATAAGCCCCAGGCACTGGGTGTTTCCGAAACTAGTAAGCGAAAATTCAGCAGTAGAGCCCAGGAAAAGCCATTGCAATATAGGCGGAAAATTGGATCACACGGCAAAACAAAATAAAATATTTTAACAAAATTTTAGAAACATAAATATTATATTTACAATTTGTGACCTTAAAATAATAACAACATGAGCTGACCTGCTTTAATAAAGTTCAAATTTTAATTCAAGTGAATAAAAAAAAGAACTGCCTCGGTTAAAAATATAGAACACATTAATTTGTTAAGATTAAATGTTAAAAATATTAAAGTGTACAATAAATGACAGTTAAATATTTTAAAGAATACTTGCAAATAAAATACAAAAATTAACATTAAATACAAATATACTATATATCGCCATTAGCGAAATGCATTTTTTATGCACTTCATGGAAGAAAACCAAATGGAAAATACTGCAAAAATGTGTGCACACATGGCCAAAATAGATTTGCCGTAACATATGCAATAGACGTAGTCCTTCTGTGATTGATTGCCAAATCCCCTCGCCAGAGTGTGAAAATGCGAAAAATATTGCCCGAAATCAAATTGTCAACGCATCCCAATGAAACAGAGGGGATTTTCCACTAAAATGCAAAGCAATTAGCAGCCAGCGATGGGAAAAGACAGGAAACGGAAGAGGATTTCTTCCCCTTTGAGTTTTTAGTAAAAGCTGCGATTTTTAGCACCTTCGTCCCCTTGAGTGGCGCCGCCTGGTGGCCAGCCCCCGCAGATCTGGACCCGCTAATGAACAACAAACTTAAGGGTTTTCCGGTGGAAAAAACGTAACGAGCAATGGCAACAAAATATCGTCAATAAGGCAAACGGAATTACAGAAATTAAATGAAATGCAATTAACCAGCTAAATGGGCAAAGCCCTCGAGGAAGGGAAATGTGAGAAAGTTGCGAGGGAAAATGGAAAATTCGTCCGGAAAGCAGCGGATTTTTTTTTTGCCAAGGAGAAGGAATCCGACTTGTAAACTTAGATTCAGGAATCACACTTCTGTTCGGTAATTAGCAAATGCAAAATTACAGAACACACTAGGAAAAATAAATGTAAAAACAAATCAACAATTTAAATAGCCATTTTGTACCCACAAATAAAACAAATCATTTTTCTTTATATGCTAATTGTGTTAATAAAACCATTATTAAACTGATTTTAGTTTATAATAAATGAGTAAATATTATTTTTAAATTTCCAAAATAGTTGATACTTTTGAAACACTTTTCCCTTAGTGCAGGGGTGGGGGAGAAGCAGCTCCTTGGGACTTTCGTTCAATTGGATGGCATTGCCGGGGGCTCATCCTTGATTCCTTGGCCATGCAAATGAGTTGGATTTATGCATCCCAGTTGCCCCTTCTTGGAGCTCCATCTTGCAGCTCCTTCCGGGCATTTTCGATGCACATCGATTGATTTCGCATCAACGCAAAATGCGAAACGGATTATTAAACTTGCCACTGGCCAGGTGTGTACCGAGCAGCAGAGCCACTGGGAAAAGCTGGCTGAGAAAGCGGCTGGGAAATGGAAATGGGGGAAACTGGTGGAAGACAATTTTGCAGCTGCTGCAATTTTCGATAAATTCTTTGCTCAAAAGATGCGCTGGATAAATGGGAAAAGGGCGGTGTGGGACGCTATGGGATGCAGCAGATATTTCATTCATTTCCATAATTTTAATAAAATTGAAGAAAAATATTCAAGGCAATGCCGCAGAAGCAGCGACAGCAGCGGACGATGGCGAAATGAAAAGCGGAAAATGTGAAAACGCAAAATATGCGGCTATGTAATAGCGGCCACGTCACATGCACAGTGGTCCAAAAGTCTTTGAAAAAATTGATTAATTACCCAAACTATATTTAATTAAGTTATATTCATAATATTGCGAAATAAACTGGGCATTATATTATTGTCCAAATACAATGTTTTAGAAATAATAGGTAAAAAGTTAGGCAGTCATCAAAAATATGGTATATATCTAATATTTCAATGGATTATTATCGATCAATAGATATTGATGAATTGTCTGGGCCCAAAAAAAACTAGAATTAAAAGAAAGTATACAAAATATTATTTAATATCTATCTATGCATTGTTAACCGATTTTTTTCATTAGTTTTAATAAGTGTTTTTATAGTTGTCAATCTCTCCTGTCATGAAATATATTAGTTCAAGTGCTTAGCTATTTTCTTTTTATAATTTTCCAGCCCTAGTTTCACAGTGCTTGATTGCAGCCGCTGGCATTTTCATCGTCTTCATTCCAATTCGGTTTTCTCAACTTTATTCTCCTTTTGTACCTGGCCCCGTTCGGTTTTGTTTTTCCTATTTTTAAGCTATACACATGCCGCTATTTACCCCTTGCCGCCGACGCCCCTGCCCCCAGTCACATCTATATATCTATATATATATATATATATATATATATATATGTATATATATCTTTTCCCATGTGGAGCGATGGGGAGCATGTCAAGCAAATGACATAATTCAGTTGCTGGCAAAGTTTTTGACTGATGCCATGACAAGTGGCCCCCTTTTCCCCGTTCCCCCTTTCCCCCCGCCCCTGGCACCACACCATCCTGGAGGCCATCTCCTCCCATGGCCTCTTGGCCAAAAGTTCAGCGTTGGATTCTGATGCTCGCTGATTGCCGACCATCTTGCCAAAGCACTCATTTTCATTCCCTTTTATAAACACTGAAAGAAAAATATAGAGCTAAAAATGATGGGCTGAAAATATAGGTAACATTTAACGGTCTTAAATTAAACTGTTCTAAATTAAAGACAAAATAATTAATACCAAGAAAAACATGGATATGTAATGTTTTACAACTTATAAAATATGTTTTGTTTACAATAGATCATTTTAAATTGGTTTGCAAAATAAAAACATAGCTTTATAAGTTTTATGGCATCTAAAATAATATTAAAATAATTTTTAATAAAAAAAAATTATAATGTCATGAACAATTATTTTTTTATGATCGCGAAACAATATTTCATTAATCTTTTAAATGATAAGGAAATAACTTTTCGTTAGAATTACTTTTTTGTATATATTGCTTGATGGAAATAATACATTTTCTAAGTGCATTTGTTTTCGAAAGAAGAACAAGCCGAAGGAACCGAAGCCAGAAGATATGTCACCAGGTGGAAGTGCGCATTTAATCCAACCAAAAGTCCTAACATCAACAGCCAAACTGTTTCGGAAAACAAAAAACAAAAAAGAGTCAAGTCAAGGACTCGAAGTCGAGGGGCTAATACCAAACATGTGCCGCCTCTAAACAATAAAAATGACTTTCACTGAGATGGGGAAAATGGTACAAAAAAAAAAAAATGCAGGGGCAAATTAAAATGTTCAAAAGTTTTTCAGGACAACCGGGGTGAGCTATTTGCCCCTTTTCTTCATGGCAAATTTACGAGGTCCTCCCGTAAAGCCACTTGAAAGCATCTCTCGCTCATAACTCATGATGTTCTCGGGCCTCTCCTTGGTCCTAAATCTTTTTTATTTTTCTCCTGCTTTTTTTCCCTCCATTGGGCTTTTAATTACGCCCAAGCCCCTGCAACATCAGAATGGCCCGAAATTAATTTAGCCAAATCATGGGGAATCAACAGGAGTAGGCCGAAAAAAAAAGGACATGTGCGTGACGAAAGGGGAAAAGGGCAGGCCAAATAATAGAATAGAATGGAATAGAATGGAATGGAAAAGGGCACATGCAAACAAGGGTTAAGCAGCGCCAGCCTCCACATGACATGTGTGGGCGTGTCTGTGCCCCCTTTTTATATTTATGGATACTACGTGTTGTAGTGGGCGTGTTACGGCCATATCCCACCTTCTATTTCGCTGCCGTTTTTAGGGCCAAAGCGACAACATAAAACAGTCGTAAAATTTATTAAGTGACATTTTTGTGTATGTAAAATAAAGCAGGCAAACAAAAACAAAAAAAAGGGGAAAGAACAGGCATAACCATAAAGAAAACCAACAGAAAAATATAAAAATAAAACATCGTAAACACGAGAAAAACATTTGCTGGACAAACGTTAATTACGCAATGGTTTAATAATAAATAACTAAGAAATATGAGAAAATCCGAGAGGCTTTTACAAAAGTTTGACCAACGAATTTCCCTTGGATTTTTTTGCAATCAATTAAATATTAATTAATTGGCTTGTTGTCTTCTCTCCTTTTTGGCCAAGTTCACTTGCTAATTTTACATTTCCTAATTGCTCATCAGTCGCTTGATTGTTGCCCCGCCTCCTGGAAAAATCCCCTTTTTCGCGAGGTCCTGGCTCATTTAGCTGGTTAATTGCATTTCATTTAATTTCCGTAATTTCGTTTGCCCTATTGACGATATTTTGTTGCCGTTTCTCGTTACGTTACCCATAGTTTGTTGTTCATTAGCGTGCCAAAGTTGCTTCCAAATCTTGGGGGCTGGCCGGCAGGTGGCGCCACCGCGAGGACAAAAAGGTGTTGAAGGGGCCAACCATCATTCCTTCTCAGGTTCTGCTCTTTCGCTGCTAATTGCACAGCATTTATGGCCCCCATTTCAACTCCCTTGCCTTTTTACATTGTAACATTAAATTTGTGTACATTTTGTTTCTGGCTTTTAAAAAGCTCAACATAAATTTTGAAATTTCTCAAAGCATTGAGTTTCCAACATTTGTAAAAGTTTCTTAACAATTTTCACCGGAATACCAGCTACTGCGGTTATTTCCGTTGTTACTCCAATAATTTTGAACGCATCAACAAACATCTGTTTAAAACTATGTGGTTATTTACTGGAAAGAATTGAGAGATTCTAGTTCCTTCATCTGGTCCTTCTTAATCGCTTCAATGAGATCTAAGGCATAGCGAGATCCCTTGTCCATCAGCGAATCCCCTTCTAGTATCTCCATAAAAGCCTTCAGAATCATTGGTACTTTCGACTGAATAGCTTCACCATTGGCTTCGTAGACCAGCAACATGGCCTGAGCCACCAGTCCATGTTCCAAATCCACATCTGGTATATCCCTAAAAGGCAGCAACTCCAAGAAGCTGTCCAGAAAATCGCTGACAGGACAAATGGTATGGTCCTGTAGCATCATTTTACTGGCCAGAACACATCCCTGCTCCCTTTGTGTTCGAGTCCACGACTCAGGCTCACGCAGAGCGTTGGCCAGTGGAATGGCCAAAGTCGTGATGATGATCTCCGGTTTTCGGTCTATTAACTTGACCACTTCGACCAAGGACTCGAAGCTGCGCTTTCGCCACTTCCTTTTGCTAGCCAGCAGACCCTGGGCAGTACATCTACAGAGCATCTCATAGTACGGATGGCCCTCGTGGCCCAGGGATTCCAAGCAGCGGATGATAACGCCGCAGAGGAAGTACTTTCGGGCAAGATCCTTTCGGGGACGCCACAGGGATCGTAGGTTGATCGTCTTCACACAGGCGACAAACTTCTGGGGACCCACAATGTCACCAAAGACCGGAAGCAGTTCGCTCACCGTCTGCAAGAGGATGAACTCCTGGTGGACCAGTTTACTCCAAAGTCTTGAATCACTCCAGTCCTCGGGGCCCAGATCCTCGTAGCAGTTCAATTCCTGTTGGATCTGGCACTTGAGTTTGCGACGCAGAGCCTTTCGCATAATAGCGAATAGTTTGTCGGCATGTTTGGGTATCTTGAAGGTCGCCATGCCGAGATTCTGCAGCAGGGTCTTGCAGCAATTCAGAGCCCCGATCACGTGGTCAAGGTGGTAGGTCTGCAGCATGGAGCGAAATAGCCGGGCAAGGACCTTGGAGCACAGACTTTGGGCCTCGTCGACTTTGTTCCGCCGCCATTGGTGCAAAATAATCTCGATGAGGGTGGAAAATCCCTCCGGCCTTAGGCGTCTTGAATCTTGAGTACACTGGAGCAGGAGGTCAGTGGCCTCCATGAAATACCGATCGAACTGATCTGGCAAGTGAACCACCAGGCTCTTGAGGCAACTCACAGCCTCCTCCCTTTCGTCGGTCACATGGTCGCATTCCTGGGTTGACATATATTCAAACAATAGCCCCACCTCGTCCTCGTTCTGGTTTTCACTTTCCGACTGAGACTCTCCGTCAGTTTCGATATTCACCTGCTGGGATTTGTACAGCTCACAGAAAACGCTGTTGATGATTAGGTCAAAGGGGGCCTTGAAAGCATCGGGAACTGTGGCACACAGCTGACCCAAGAGGTCAAAGGTGAACCTCGGAATGGCATTCCTTTCCTGGAGAATGGACAATATCATCTCCAAAAGATCCAAAGCCAAGGGGAAGAACTTTTCTTTGTTCACTCGACCAATCATTCCAAGAACCTGTATTTCAAACAAAAGGATTTAATGTCTTATATTTTTGAGAGACGTCGTGATTCACACTAGGTGTAAAATCTCAAAGTTGTAATCATGTTTAAGGATTAGTTTGTACCAAATCTGATATTTTTAAATAAATTAATTCCTTAACTCACCCGCAAGGCCTGCGACTTTAGCTGCAGTGCATCATCGCCGGGAAAATAGAGACACGGCTGGACCGCATCCACAACCCGGTCGCAATAGGGATGCAGTGCCTCCCCTGGGGCCACCTTTCCTACGACGGCAATGCCACTCAAGGCCATCTGCCGTGCGAAAACCGAGCTGCAGCCCTTTTCCAGGAGTCTCAAGAAACTGCCCATCAGCTCGGGCACATGTATGGCGACCACATCGTCGCGCAGACTCTCGACCAGGATCTCCATGGAATGAAAGAGCCGCGGGGAGTCCACGGCCATTCGATCGAAACAGGATACGTACAGGGGCATCAGACGATCGGCCAACTGGGTGATCTCCGGCTGCAGGTTCTCCACCATCAAGCACATCGCGAACTGGGCCGCCCGCCTGACCATCATCTCCGCCGGGTCATCCAGTCCGCACTCGATTAAGGCCAGGAGGCGTCCCAATGGCATCTCGTCCAGTTGATCTACGGTGCCCTCCGCCACCACGCCCAAGAAGATCAGGATGCCCAGTCGCTCGCTGGCCGGCGGCTTGGTTTCCAGGTGTGAGCTGACCAGGTCCAGGCACAGGGGTACGAAATCATCGGCCACCAGGCGGGAGGAGAGCGATCGGACGGTATCGACGGCGGGGCCCACGATGGAGTTCTGCGCACGACAGGCGTTCAGATAATCCTCCAGAGCCTCACCTTCCGGCTCGAGGGTCACGCCAATGAGGCGGTACAGAACCATGAGCACACCGTCCATCATCTCCAGCTCAATAATCTTGCGGAACCTCTCCAAAAGAAGTCGTCTCAGAATAACCATGGCCATGATGCGCATTGGCATGGCCAGATTGTGATCCGCCACCAGAGAGACAACTTCCGGCACCAACAGACGCAACTGGCGGCCCATGGTGGCGGGCAAATGGTCCAGGAGACTCTTCACCAACTGGTAGCCCCGGTAGCAGTACTGCTCTTCCGACTCATATGGCCACAGGCGGAACAGGCGCATTATCAGGGGCATTCGCTCGATCAGTTCGCCGGAGACCTTCAAATTAAATGCATAGTTCATAAATATCGATATTTAATCAATAAAATATGTTTAAATACTGTATTCACTAAATTTGGAAAAGTTATGGACGGTATAAGTCCAATATTGGGAGTGACAACTCTTCCAAAACTTAAAAAAAACTGTGAAAATGGTTCAAAAATTCGATCAACGTTAAAATGAAAATTTTGAATGCAGATTTTTAGAGGATGAACCCACAAGTCTTTAGAGGTATGTCACTTTGAAATCGGATTAAGTTTGGAAAAGTTATGGACTGTGGAAGTCCAAGGGTGAGTCACCTTATTACAACTCATCGGAAACTTAGAAATAAGTAACATGAAAATGGGTCAAAAATTCGATCAACGTTAAAATGAAAATTTTGAATGCAGATTTTTAGAAAATGAACCCACAAGTCTTTAGAGGTATGTCACTTTGAAATCGGACTTAATTTGGAAAAGTTATGGACTGTGGAAGTCCAGGGGTGAGTCACCTTTTTACAACTCATCGGAAACTTAGAAATAAGTAACATGAAAATGGGTCAAAAATTCGATCAGCGTTAAAATGAAAATTTTGAATGCAGATTTTTAGAGGATCAACCCACAAGTCTTTAGAGGTATGTCACTTTAAAATCGGATTTAATTTGGAAAAGTTATGGACTGTGGAAGTCCAAGGGTGAGTCACCTTATTACAACTCATCGGAAACTTAGAAATAAGTAACATGAAAATGGGTCAAAAATTCGATCAACGTTAAAATGAAAATTTTGAATGCAGATTTTTAGAGGATCAACCCACAAGTCTTTAGAGGTATGTCACTTTAAAATCGGATTAAATTTGGAAAAGTTATGGACTGTGGAAGTCCAAGGGTGAGTCACCTTATTACAACTCATCGGAAACTTAGAAATAAGTAACATGAAAATGGGTCAAAAATTCGATCAACGTTAAAATGAAAATTTTGAATGCAGATTTTTAGAAAATGAACCCACAAGTCTTTAGAGGTATGTCACTTTAAAATCGGATTTAATTTGGAAAAGTTATGGACTGTGGAAGTCCAAGGGTGAGTCACCTTATTACAACTCATCGGAAACTTAGAAATAAGTAACATGAAAATGGGTCAAAAATTCGATCAACGTTAAAATGAAAATTTTGAATGCAGATTTTTAGAAAATGAACCCACAAGTCTTTAGAGGTATGTCACTTTAAAATCGGATTTAATTTGGAAAAGTTATGGACTGTGGAAGTCCAAGGGTGAGTCACCTTATTACAACTCATCGGAAACTTAGAAATAAGTAACATGAAAATGGGTCAAAAATTCGATCAACGTTAAAATGAAAATTTTGAATGCAGATTTTTAGAGGATCAACCCACAAGTCTTTAGAGGTATGTCACTTTGAAATCGGATTAAATTTGGAAAGGTTATGGACTGTGGAAGTCCAAGGGTGAGTCACCTTATTACAACTCATCGGAAACTTAGAAATAAGTAACATGAAAATGGGTCAAAAATTCGATCAACGTTAAAATGAAAATTTGGAATGCAGATTTTTAGAAAATGAACCCACAAGTCTTTAGAGGTATGTCACTTTGAAATCGGACTTAATTTGGAAAAGTTATGGACTGTGGAAGTCCAAGGGTGAGTCACCTTATTTCAACTCATCGGAAACTTAGAAATAAGTAACATGAAAATGGGTCGAAAATTCGATCAACGTTAAAATGAAAATTTTGAATGCAGATTTTTAGAGAATGAACCCACAAGTCTTTAGAGGTATGTCACTTTGAAATCGGACTTAATTTGAAAAAGTTATGGACTGTAGACATTAGAAACTTCGAAAAAGGGTTTATATAATTATTTTTTTCCTACCTGCATGTTCTTGTGTCCGACAGCCAAGGCTCGGGTCCAGCCGACGACCAGGCCTTCTGTGATCGGGGTCACCAGGCATCCCTCGTTATCGGCCAGCTGGAGGCCATCGAGGAATATGCGCTGCGCTCGATCCATTTGGTGCAGAAACACTTCGGGCGTTTCCTTAGCAAGTTGGCTAAAAATAGTGGCGCCCAACTGGCGGTCCTTCGCGTCCACCGACAGACAATTGGCCTCCACAAAGGCAAGGATCGCGGAGCTCCACTCGCCGGGTTCCTGGGACATGGCCAAGCCCACGATGCGCACGGTGGGGCCACGCAGTTGCTCCACATCGTCGTCGACCAGGGACTTCAATGCATCGAAGAGTAGAGCAAGGATCTCTGAGCTCTGGTCGGCGGTGAGGGACTCCCAGTACTTGCCATCAGTAATCTGCGATTCCAGGACCTTGGCTGCGTTTAGGCGGACACTTACCGCGTTCTTGGAGCTCATCAATAATGCGCAAGAAGTCCTTGTGCCATCGCCATCGCCATCGCCGAATTCTTCAGCCAGGGCTTCGCTGGCACTACGGACTTCCTTCTCCTGAACAGAGGACATGCTATTAAGCATGGTGATAGCCTGATCTTCGCGATTTTCCATTGTGGATTGCATTTTAAGAATTAATAAACTTGGTAGTATTTTACACAAAATATGAAAATATATAAATGCAAAATGTTGTTAGAGACACGAGAGTACTGTGAGGTTTAAAAGTAGGTTAGTGAGTGAAGTGAGTAGACATTTGGGTCGTAAGCATACTTGACTGCTACAATCAGAGCACTCTTGATTTTGAGTTTTGGAAAAGTTTCGAACTTTTAAAGTTCATGTTCCTAAATATTATCAGTACTACAATTTTTTAACATTTTTATTTTATCAAGTTTTTAATGGAAGTTTATACATAGATGTTAAAAAAAAAATATCCATTTAGCCAATTAAATGTTAGCTAATTCAGTTTCTAAAAGGGTTATCTAGAACTTCACTTCAAGATCTCATAATTTCATTAATTTAATTCCAATTTTAAGGTGTGGTTTTATTTTTTAATAATTTAATTATGGCCAAGTTTTTGAATAATTTTTATGTTGATTTTTTGTAAGTTTCCGATGCATTGCAGAAAGGTGACCCATAACTCTCCTAATTAAATTCGGGGCTTAAAGTGGCTTTATTCTTTAATAATCAGCAGTTAAATGTATTTATTTAATAGTATATGTTACAATATTTTGGATTAACATATACTAATACTAATAATTGTCGATGGCTTGTAGAAAGTTGACCCACAACTGGCCAAATGTACATATGTACAAAAGGCGTTTCACTTGTCGTTCAGATGGGAATTTGGGGATGCCAGTGCTCCTGCCCCAGAATGCCACTCCTCCCCTCTGGGATCGCTGGGTTTGGGGTCCGCTATCTCGGGTCGGTATGTGAGACCCCGGGGCGGATTCGTCGGCGGTGGCAGGGGCGGCGGTGGCGGTATCAGCGGCAGAGGGTGCTTCAAGGGCCAGGGATAGACGCCGCCGTGCCGCTCCATGATGCCACGCTTCTGCGGCTGCCTCAGCTCGAAGGGGAGGCTTTTTTGGGTGGTGGCCAGCACCTTGGCCTCGCACTGCAGGGCGTTGTAGAGCTCGATCTTCTTGCGGGTGACCCTGTGGGTGGTGGGTGGACTGATGGCCTGGTTAACGCAATTGTCGCGCCACAGCTCAAATTCGCCGTGGGTGAAGGCCAGGTTCGAGATGTCGTTGATTTCGTGGTGCATCACCAGATCTTCGTAGCGCAGCTTCAGCGCCACATTTGTGGGTATGTCCTCGACCTTGTAGCCGATGTCCAGTTCGCCGAGGCCCAGGATCTCGGCGATGCGATAGTCGGGCAGCTCCTCCCGCCCATTGATGTTCACCCGGACGAAGCATCCCGTGACGGCCTGCTCGAAGGCGGGCCGGACCAGGAGCAGGCCGATCCGGTGGCGACTCAGGCGCAGCTGCTCCAACTCGCGGCGACTGGCCACGGGCACATCCGGGGCGGGGGCCCCCTCGTGTCCCTCCGCCCACCGCTCGTCCTCGTCGTCGATCCGCAAGGGCGAGGACCTCAATCGCCTCAATTCCCGGACTATTTCCGCCGCCGGGCGACGAGTCTGCCGACCGGACATGGACATTCAAACGGTTTGCTCTGCTCCACCAAATGGCGCGCTAAAAGCATTTAAACAATTTTTGCTGACTTTAGAGATTTGCTAGGACCAAAAATGAAATGGTGACAACTGGATCGAGGTCGGAAAAACAGTTTGAGAAAATTCAGAAGTGAAAATACGGATTAAGACTCCTTTAATTCAGGAAATTATTGTTCTTTCGACATTCATTTAGGTGCCATTTTAATAAATAGTACTTAAAATAAGAAAAAGTTACTCTCATAAATAAATTATAATCATTTAAGTATCATTTTTATCAGATGAAATAATTTACCATAATTTATTTTGAATCAATCCAACATTTTACAGAAAGATTTTCTCAGTGTTGTGTGCAGAATTAATTAGGCATTTCTATTGTCTTTGAATGGCGGCCAAATTGTAAAAAGGGTTTTACGAGCTTATATGTGGTTTTGTGTAAGGTATTTTTAAATACCCTTTTTTATAATTTTTAATTTAAGTTGAACCTAATGTGAGCTTTCTTTGCGCTTTTTAATACGAGTAACAAGCAAAATAATTTCAAACAAAATCTTTGAAAGATATAAGCTGCGAAAATGTTTTATATTGTTAATATTTTGATTTTATGGGAGTTCATTTTTAATAACACTTTTGTGTTAAAATATTAGTAACGTAAAATGGATTACATATTTTTACAGGGTATCCTTTTTGTTATCTAGTTCATCCATTGGAATGCATTTAACGACCCGCCTCCGTTTTATGCCCTCCATAAATGCGAGGGGCCAAACTATTAAATTTATATTAATTTCTCAGTTTTTTCTTGGCGAGCATTTCACTTGGCACCCGCTGCTTAACCCCCTATTGCCCCATCCCCCCCCATTCCGATTATACCTGCTGGAGTGAAATGGGTGGATCTTTTCCCATTTGGCAAAAGATTTATTATACAATTGCTTTAATTACAGTTGCAGCTAATTGTATGCGGACCTCCCGGGCAGATGCTACTTTTGATGCTGGCACAGTGCCCATTGAGTGGTGGTAAGAGGGGAGGGGGGTTTGGGTAGTGGGTGGTGGGTTAATGGGTGGGTGGTGGTTGGTGGTTGGTGGTTGGCTGATGGAGGGGTAATGCAAAATCTTTGCATGCTTTGTATGTGAGTCTGCATAAATAACTTGGTTGTATGTGTGGCACATCGAATATGCTGCTCACGCACAAATTTTCCTTGCGCTTCTCCTCGGCCTTGCCACTCCCACTCAGCGCCCAGCCCCCAACCGCCCCCCATCTGCACCACCACCCCCTTCTCACCCCAGAATCTATGGATCCTCTACCCCATCCTTCAGCATGCGCACACACTTAAGGGCAAACTCGTTTATGCAAGCTCAGTCATCATCATCATCATCATCATCGTCATCGTCATATACATCCAGCGCCACAGCAGCATCGCTATCCAGGCCATATCCCATATCCTTTATCCTGCATCCCCCTTCCCCCATCACCATCCCCCATTCCCCCCGTAAGCCCCACCCACTCACAACATCCAACACCTCCTCATCTTCGACGAGCTGACCAACAGAAATTCCCTTCGATTCCGATGATGCCTTCTTTTTTGGACATACAGCGAACGACACACTGCGGATAAATAGGTTAGGCGAAGGCCATCAAGGAATATTAATTATATATAAATATTTTAAATTTTAAATTGAAATATTTTACATAACAAATTAACACTAAATTTCGCCTTTTGAAATATATTTTTATTGATTTTGGGAGCCTAGCATATTTTTCAGTGCACACATGATGATAAAGATGGAAAAAGATTTGAAGAGGATGAGAATTCGCAGCATTAGACAGAAAGTTAGAGGAAGAGGTCCTAAATAAAAACCTTTGTTTTATAATAAATTTATAAATCCATTTCGTAGTCCAATACCTTTGGGAAACGCATCGAGAAAAACTGAGACATTAATCAAAAAACTATAAGCAATGGATGGATACAAATATATTGTTTTACATATACATTTTAATGGTTTATTCAATCGTTTGTTTTTACCCTAACCTAGTTGCCTGCTTGGCAATTAAAAAAGATAATTGGAAGCACCTAGCTTTAATTGATCTAGCTAAATCAAATCCTTTAATTCAGTCAGACAGACAGATAGTATATAGTATGTATCCTTAGCTTGCAGATAAAAGGCATAATTCCATTGCTAAACTTTAAAACAAAGCATGTTGCGTTGAAGTTATTAAAACGCCGCAAACCTGAACATCATGCAAATAATCTAAACAGAGTGGCTATGGGTGTGAAAAATCCTAGAAAATGCTGAATGCCATGAGAGCCATCCATCACGAGGGCATCAGCTGGTGAGGACCCAACATCAAGTCTACGAGGCTCAAGAACTTTTCCTCGAACACCTTTGGGCCGGGGGGCGAAGTACAGTCACCGCCATAACGGCCAGTCAGCCACGCCTTGACGTTGACAGGCTGAGCAAAAAGTTTGCGTCCACCAGGAGAGCCAGGACCAAACGAAGGAGGAGCTCTGGGGGCGTAACCCTCATCCAGTTGGCTGACATGCCGAGCCCAGACCCCTTTTCCCCCCGCCCAACTGGGCTGCCCAGAAATGGAGACATAAGTATTTAACTGGCTGGTTTCTAAGCCTTAATGAAATGCAAAATAATACCCTTGCCGAATCATTGATTCTTCAGGAAACATGGTCACATTGCGCCTATTCTTCAGGTAGCATGGTAACATTGTCCCCTTCGTATCGTGACATGGTCACACTGGCCCTTCTTTAAGGTTTCAAGGTCACACTGTTATTGTTAATACAATTGTTGCAGCAGTCTAGTACTACTTACTTGGCCGTATTCGAAACGAACTCGTCTTCAGTTGGTAGTAGGCAAACGCACTTACCAAAAACTCACGGACTTAAGTGCTGGAAAATTCCCATACAGCAACTGGCGGCGGACGCAGGCTGGCTAAGAGCGAATCTAGGATGCGGATACCCATGTCAAAAAAAAAAGAAGACAAAGAAGAAAAAGGCAACAGGAATGTGACTAGGCCAGGGGCAGTTGCCAGTTGCGAGTTGCCAGTTGCCAGTGAGGCAGTGAGGCAGTCAGGCAGGGAAACTTGTTTGTTGCACAGAAACAAAAGCGCTTCCGCTTTTCATGTAAAATGACAGAAACAAGTGTTAATGGTTTTGGGCTTAGGCGCCGCCAAACGCGAAGGGAAAAGTAGGAAGGACGCAGGATAAAGGACGCAGGACGGACAGCTGGACAGTGTGCAGTCCAAGCAGATTAGATTGCACATTAGAGGTGTGGTGGCGAAGTAGTACCTCTTTTGTAACAATTTTCCCGCTTTACCAATGATCAAAAAAAAAGTGAGTTTTCCAAGGCGCGCTTAATATCTTTTAACTGTATCATATACAACAAACAGTTTCATGGAAAATCACTTCACATTCTACACTTTGTTTTGTGGTAATAAAATGTCATACCTTTGACTACTTTCTATATGAAACGTCCAATAAAAACCAAATTTTAAGAAAATACAAAATAAAAGCAATGAAAATGTTAAATCATTAAGATTACGTGGTCAAAAATTGTAAGTTAGCACCCTGATAGAAATTGTTTGTTTCCTATTTTCCTTGATAATTTGATCATGATAATTTGTGGTCTTCCTTATGACAATCAACTCTGGTTGCGTGTCATGACAGTAAGCCGTACTTCCTACTTTCTCTAGGCTTTTCTCTGCCCCTTCTCTCGCTTTCTCCCTTTTTTGTTCATTTAATTTCTTTTTTCCCGCTCCCCGCCCCTCAATGTTTCAGTCTGGGCCAATTTCAGTGTGAAACCACCGCAGTCTGCCCCGCAAAACCCCAAAAACCCAACCACCAGACCCTTGCACCAACTTCTCGCCCCCCTTTTCCCTCTTTTTTCACTCCGCCTCTGTCTGTGACGTGAGCTCTTTTGCTATTTTGAGCTGGATTTTTTGCTACTTTTTTTTGCCTAGTAGATATTTTTTTGTTTCCTTGTGCAGTTGCAGCTTTTTGCATTTTACCTCCAGGAATTTTTCGTTCCGTATGCATATGCAAATGCCTCGGCCTACATGTGTCGGTGTCTGTTACCCCGCAGAACCCCTCCCGCACGTCCCTTTTTTTTCAGACCTCCCCCCACTCCCCCCGCCCCCCATTTTGGGGCATATGGGAAACTTTTGCCAGCATGTTGCCTATTGCAGTTCTTTTTTTCTGCACTCATTTCTAGCTGATTCCGGGGACTCCCCCTTCTCTAGTGCAGAATTACAATAATGAAAATGTATTTGCAAAACTCGCCTAATTAGTTGAATATGAGCCATGTTGGGTATTCAAATATGCACAGGCAGGCTGTCAGACAGGGACAGCCAGCAAGGAAAAGAGAGAGACAGGGATGTGTGGCACAGATAGCAAACACGAACTGCGAGAAGCTTAAAAAAAAAGTTACTCAATTGCACTGCCTTTGTTTGACAGGCAACATGAAAGCATTTATTGCAGTGCCACTGTACTGCAACTCGACCTTTTTTTGGAACTTTCTTTTATTTTAATTCGAAGAGCAAAGGTTAAAGAGTTTTCGATTTTACAGTCATGGTCTCACGTTCTTTAAATGGACACTTTACCCTCATTGTAAGGAATTAGCGTACAAAATCCGTTTGAATGCAGCCCTTCAATATTTATCTTTCACTTAATTTAAAATATTTTTGTTAGCTAGTTGAATACATAAAATGCTCAATATTCCCTTAATCGGTATATTAAATTATACCTATAATATCCGTATTTATCAGCCAAAATGTTAGTTAACTTGGAAGGCCTAAAAATCTTTTAAATATTTCAATGTAGATTTATAATGCTGTGAAGTGATTTATTTCCAATAATATGTGTCTTAGAACCTTTATAAAAAATTTCTCAAATATATCAAAATTAGCTTAAGAAATCCGGTGACAAATTTAAGTAGAGCCCATAAACCTTTCGTAATATTAACCCACTTTTGCCAGTGGGGGCAAGTGTTAAAGTTGTCGAGAGCATTGAACGCACCTGCGACACCTGTCCTTCGACTTTGACTTTGGCTTAAAAACAAAGAAGTAAAAAGCTCGAAATTA